CACCTTTGATTTCAAAGCAGTCCCTTTACAACGAAAGGAAGACAAGGGAGTAGTAGAGGGGGCCCAAACCAATTGTTGGCGATAGTGTTTCTTGGGGCTCGACCACGTTTGCTGGTGTCTTATACGCGGAAAAGTTACAGTTTTATAAGTCAAATCAAAATATAAATGTTATTCACGAAATTGTGTCCTCGTTTGTGTCAGTCGGTAGTGGAAATAAACAAGCTACGGCTGGGTGAGCATGAAATGGGGGAAGCATGTAGCGAGGATTGTGCGAATAATCTGATGGAGACGGTGAGCGCCGGTGTGAAGCCCTATACCGATATCAGAGGGATAGATAATAAAATAAGAATCTGAGGTTCCTACAATAAACAATAAAACCCAGTGTAACCGCTTATATTTCCGTGTGAAACAAATGGATGATCTAATAAGGTAGAAAGGTGGAAGCGAGGGGTAGGGGGCAAATACATGTTGGGTAGAAAGGCACCACTGATTACTCTGTACTCAGTTATGTGACCAGTACTTGTTGAAGTTGGCAAGCTCATACCATGTACTGGCACTGGGGGAAAAGTTAGTGTCATCATATCGCATCGGCTGGTGAGCTGTCTGTTTTCTTCTCACTTTTCTCGATACATGAATTTTCGAACTTATTATTTACGCACATTTGAAAGTGCTTATATGCCACAGCAGTCAGGCCACATTGTCCAAAGGATTTGGGTGGAATTCACGTTCCTACCACCAGATCTGCTAGGAAGCAGCTTCTACCATTCCATTTTTAGTAAAATTCTATCCACCAGTCGGTGTTTTGTAACACTTCCTATAGCAACATAACTGTCTGCTTCAGATGCTCACCTTCTTAGAAATATCTTTTATGTATATGTGCACCTAAACGTCAGTTGCCACTATATGGACAGCCACTTTTACGAAATAACAAAGAAGTAAATATTTTCCCACACCTTGTATTTAACATGAGCGGGCTGTTCAGGTGTACAAGATCAGCAAACCCAAAGAACCAGTTGGAGATACAAGGGCGATCAATGCCACATAAGAGAGCCAATAGCACAGAGAAGTCCAATTTCTTCTCCCTAAGAGTATGTGATTTATGGAATGCCTCACCGCGACATACCATTATAGCTCCCTCAGTCAACTCATTCAAGAGACGGTTAGACCGTTATGTCACTTCACACGGCCTACCACGGGCGTACTCAGGGAGTCACCAACCCCACTGACCCACCCCCACCTCCCTCCTACCCACCACTCACTATCTCCCTCATTCATACACCCACACTGCCTACTAATTCTTCCATAGGAACGAAACCCACGCTATCTACTTACACCATTCGGGCAATTCCCACGTACTACTCTCACTCACTTATTTCTCTCCTTCACCCCCCCCCTTCTCTCCTCCTTTTCCTTCTTCTTGCTTTCGTTCCCCTTTTCCCTTCCCTGACTTTCCTTTTCCTCCTTCATTCCCTTCCCTGTTTAACACTGTATTACCATTCCCTCTCAAGCTCCTACACAGACAGGAGTCACGACAGTCCCCTAACCGTCCCAGAAACCCGTAGCTCCACAATCACTCTACAAATTACAACCTACTAACCCACAAAACATCCACCTCACCGAAGCTAAAAGCAAGAAAGCAGAGGGGGTTTTCTCGTCCACTCCGGGAGTGAACCGAACAACTTGAACCAATCCCTAAGAACTAGACGCGAGAGATCAAAACTATCAGTTTTCTGTGCTCGCACTATCAATACTGGATATTGGAACCAGTTCCTCCTCGAACGCGTATCAGCACCTTCTGTCAGCGCGCTCAAGGAGAAACTAGATCTTCGCAGAGGTATGTTCTGCAAGGATTAACACAGGCAAACTGGCCTACTATCCTTATAACTGAAAACTGAAACCCTCCACCGTGCCACATTGTTTCACCACGTCCTGGCTCGTCGGCGGGCTCTTTGAGTAGTGACGTGTTTCGCTCGTCTCTCAGCTTTTGGATTTTTCCACAATGAAAAACTCCCACTTGCAATACTCAATCTAAAAACATCGAACGTTTGCAGCACTTCTGTCCATCCACGCACCTCACCCCTGCGCATTCGTCAGCTCACTCCTCAACAGTTGAAAATTGGCATTATTATTCCTTTGAACCAACCGGTCTACCTCCTGTCAGTGGTTCTTGGGCGTTTCAACTGCCAAACTGCCTTAGCTCTCGGTTCTCCTCGGAGGTCATTCCCCAGGAAATATCTTTCCTGGTTATACATACGCATCTGGAGCTTACGGTTAAACTCGTTGGTCAAGAGCAGAGGATCAAGTGACAAGTGTCTGAAGGTGAGCCAACATAAATTATCTTCCCTTTTCTATTCTGTCCTTTTGCTGCATTCAGTCTTCAACCCTCTTATTGTTGTTAACTACTTGTTTTCCCAAGAAGTTTATATCATAGCGACATGTCTGCCCAAAACGCTAGGTCTGAAGCTTTGACACGGATAACGCGGTCGTGCACAACAACGGCCAGTAACACCCTAAACAACACACTAGTCTGTACTAGAAGACAAACAGAGGTAGGGCAGAACACCGAACTTCTGAAGAAGTGGCCAACCCATGTTTCTAGAATTCCAGTCGCCATCAGACAGGTGACACAGAGTAGCACTAGCCCGTCACAAACTAGTCCTATCTTGAGCAAGGATCATACCATGCCTGAAATAGAAGACGACGTAAAAGGCTTCAGAACAAGGCAGCCACAAGCAGTTCGCCACAATCCGTAGCACCTTATTCATGGAAGGAAGGCTGTATTACGACACCCGATGGCTGCAGTGTTTGCACCAAAGTTGTTTCGGTAGTCGATGAGGCATTTGCATGCAACCTGTGTCAACGATGGGCGCATTGCCACTGCGATACCAAAGTCCCCCGACAATACTATAAGCTGATGAAGAGACAACCATGCAAGTGGTTCTGGTACATCTGTCCAGAGTGCAGGAAAATGCCCGCACTCCGCACAGAAAGCCTGAAGGAGATGCTCTCCGCCACGCAAAAGCTACCAGCATCCTCGAATAAAGTAGGGTTAACACCAAAGGATAACACAGAGAGACCTGGAAACAGACCTAGAGCTCCAGCTGTGGGCACGCCATCTCGCGTGGGGACCATATTAGGTCAAGTCTCCATACCCCCTACCCGGCCCCAGGGGACGTCAAGCGCATGGCCAAAGACATCGACCGCCGAAGCCTCTACGAAACCCATTCCGAACACCCCACACACCGTGACTGAGAAACAACCAGTGGAATTACTCAAACCCATTGGGAAGTCGGGCGTGCCACCCACAACGAACCCAGGTCACAGGAGGACCAACTCGATCATTTTGTTCAACGTCGATGTATCGACAGACTCATTGTTGGTCGAGAGGGAACAATTTGACAGCCGAATGTGGACCGACTACTGTCAGATGCTGGGACTCCCTCCCCTCCCTGCAACTTTATGTCGCCTTTCTCGAGGAAGCCATGCACCCCGAGATAAGCCACCCCCTTTACGTGTGTCCCTAAATACCGCCAAAGAGGCTGAAGACACACTCCTCCTCTCGCGACAACCGGACGTTGTTAATGCCTGTAAAATTCGGGCCAGGCCTGACAAGCCATGGTCATAAGAGAGGAGGAGAGAAAGTCAGCGGTTGGAAATCCCAACAGAAACAACACTATAGTTGTACATGGGATTCCAGAATTGCCAAGTGACAGCTCGGTCAAAGATCGGTACTTTCACGACGTCCAACAATGGCAATGGCTCTCAACCAAAGTTGGTCTCAACAGTATACCGGCCAACAGCGTCAGTAGACTGCCAAGGCCAGCGCACCTGAAGACCATACCCAATCCCAGACTACTTGCCGTCCAGTTCGACTCATATGCCTCCCTCACAGACGTTCTGCACGCATGGTATAATGCGAAAGATCGCATGGGTGGCTCAATACGTATATGTGAAAGTAAGCCTAGACCCACAAGGCAAGAGGAGAGACGGCAACCACCAAGACCTCTGGAGTCAGTGGTCGTCACACAGGCGCTGACCAGTGAGTTAGATACATCAAGTAAAGAAGCCACCACTGCTACAGCCCCCACCCAAGTTAAGAACAAAACACAAAAAAACGGAACAATGCCAGTCCTATGAGGACTGGCGAGGCTAAATTCAACCACGTAAGCGCTCATCCCGCGAAAATACACATCCAGACCTCCCCTCTCATCAGGCACACTCTAATATGTATGTACAGCAACGTTAGGGGGCTAATAGGGAAGGTAGCAAAAATGAGGACGCTGCGTGAACATCAGCACTCCGACATCATATTCATCACCGAATCCTGGCTCTCATCGGACATCTCCGACGAAGAGATGCGTGTTGCTGGCATGGAACTCTTCCGCAGGGACAGGGAACATAGAGCAGGAGGGGGAGTGGCTATCTACGTAAACTCCTGTTTAAAGGCAAGGATGGTTAGCGATACGGCCTTAACCCAGCTCCCAGAGTCTCTATGGTGCTACTTCACTCTCTTCTTTATTCTCTCTTCATTCCTTTACCACTACCTTACTATTCTCTTTCAGGTACCTACACAGACAGGAGTCATGGCAGTTCTCTAAACTTCCCAGCAACCCGTAGCTCCCTAATCACTCTACAAATTACAACCTACTAACCCACAAAACATCCACCTCACCGAAGCTAAAAGCAAGAAAGCAGAGGGATTTCCTCGTCCACTGCAGGAGTAAACCGAACAACTGGAACCAAGCCCTAAGAACTAGACGCGAGAGATCAAAAACTACCAGTTTTCTACGCTCGCACTATCAATATTGGATATTGGTCCCACTCATCGTCTCAAGTTGAACTCGAACCATTCATACAGGGACAGTTGAAGAATCACTCGTTTGTCTGATTGCTTTAGCAATTTCCAGAAACCGAAAGTGGAATTGGATGCCACATATTTTTGTTTGCTTGTCTCAGATGGTTTTATTTCCCAGGTCCAAGGTCACTCCGTATTTCATCTGATGTCCTGTAAGCGTGTTATGCTATACGGAGGCCGTGGTTGTTTAGGCTCTGCCTGTGTGAAAAGCTTTAAGAGTAAAGGATACGTAGGTATTCAAAGTTATTAGATGAACTGGTGTATAGTGGGTTTGCTCTGTTGACTTCAAGGAGAATCATGATGCTGATGCAAGCATTGTTGTATGTGATTCTACAAGTTCTTCTGCACAAGAGAAGATGGTGAAGAGTGGTCTAGACAGTATCCTCAGTAATCAAAAGTTGGATGGGATTTTCTGTGTTGCTGGTGGATGGGTTGGAGGAAGCCTTACACATCCGGGTATGTCAAGGTTACGGACATTCGGATACTTCGCTTCCAGACTTTTTGGAAAACTGTGATGTTATGTGGAAGAAATGCGTATGGTCATCATCCATTGCTGCATCATTAGCTTCAGCCTACCTTTCAACTAGTGGTCTACTAGTGCTTACTGGAGCAGATGCAGCTCTAAGAGGCACTCCAAGTAATTCAGAAATATAATGTTGCTTTTGCTTTATCTTGTTTATGTCTTGTCGTTTGCTCACGAAAAGACTGTTGTCGAAAGCTTTCATGCAGAACTCCTACTTATGAATAGACGGGAATAGAAGACTTGGTGTTTGTGGTTTTGGTGGATTTTGATTGTACGACTAAAGATAAAAGCTACCCACTTCCTAAGTGGGATTACTGCTGCAAGTCTAGGTTTAATACGGGTTCGAAATAAGCTACACTTGTCAAATTATTGGCTTCTTGTACCAGCTTCAATTTATTAGTTCTGTTAAGGCTTTTATCTAACCTGTATGGAATCTTGAATTCCCTCGATAAGGATGAAGACGGTAGTTTAGTTCAACATTTTTTTTGACAATCTTTCAGTGGTACACTGTTGGTTATATTGTAAAAAGTAATTTCGAGAGTCATGACATAACGTTTCTGCTTTCAGGTAGCACAAGGAGTTAGTTCGGAAATCGGATGAAAAGATTGTTCACTTGAAGCAGAAGTTTCAGGTCAACAATCTGTATTAACTCTTCTGTTCGGCAGTGTGGATTATTTTACTAGTGACTCACGAGACTTAGTGTTGAATCCCACTGAATATATTTATGTTCTTTGAGGTTTATGCATATGGAACGGTGTAACAAACCAGTTTTTTTAATTTTACGTAATATATAACGATCAATTATGTATCCACTCACATCTTTTCTTCTCATGGGTTTCTCGTTACTCATAGTTTAAAATACAGTAACTTTCATATCATGCCCTGCTTAATTTAATTGTAGAAAAATTCTTCCAATGTTACTGTAACCCTTCTCGAATTTTTAAAATTATTTCTGATGGTCAGACTGAGACAGGTACTTGTGACGCCAGTATATACATCAGTCTGAATCATGTAAACCTTTATCAGACAGATTCACGCGTTCAAGACTGAGTTATTCTCAACTTGGCAAAATTAAAATATCAAATTTGAATCGCTTCCATCATCGTGTTAAGCGTCCATCCAAATAAAACTCGTAGCATGTCATGCCTTTAACCTAAGATATCTTTTGACTATTATGCCGGCCCATGTAACTGCAATTCAATTTCATTATAACATATAATACTTAGTAATTTTTATTGTTGTGACTTTATTTCTCCATAATGCTGTTGCTGGAGTATAAACCAGTAGTTTTTTTTACTTTGTAGGTATGTTGGGATATGGGATGGCTAAAGCTGCTGTACATCAGCTGACTAGAAGTCTAACGGACCAGAAGAGTGGACTTCCAGATAATGCTTGTGCACTGGCTATCTCTCCGTAAGTTGTTCCTTCCCATCCACCTATGATCAAGGATATTACTTCAAGTAACAAGTATTTAAACCATATGGAGGCATTACTATATGTGGAATTAATTTTCCGGCATTTGGAAGCACATTCTCCATGAAACTGTGACAAAAGGGTTCTAGTTTTTCCCTGTTACTTGTTCATTGGCAAACTGTTCCGGACACGTCGTTTTCGGCCGTCTTCAGAAGCAGAATAGCTTAAGCATGTCTTTATAAGTCTTTCTTATTTATTCTTGCATCTCAAGAACTTTGCCAACCTTATCTGAGGTGTCGGAGATACCCACTCGCTAATCAAGGCTTGTGTGTATTGCGCCAGCAGTTCACTTTTCCCTACTATATACCTATAAAATATGGTCATTGAAGGTGTGTGTCATGGAACTACCATGTTACAAACGTGGAGGTGAGGCGTAGTTTCAGGCGAAAGTGGTGAGTCAGTTGATTAGGCTATTTCCTCCTTCGTCCTTGACTCAGGTGGATGCGACGTATTACGCATACCTGGTTACCTTCTCCTTCTTTACGCAAGACTAACCGAAGTGAGATTAGGTTGGAAGATGGATGAAGGTGACGAGAATAATACTTGACGTCTTTGAATGTTGGTCTGAACTTTACAGGGAAGTGTTGACTTTCAGGTTATGGTGCACGTGACAACCGAATTCGGAGTCTGGAGACTATGCATTAGAGCTCAGTGATATATTCATCAATATATTATCTTCATTCTTACTATCGTGTTGCGTTTTGTTACTGTTTCACCTCTTCCTCTATTCTTATAACACTTTGCTTGTTGAGATTACATGTGTTTGTCGCTTTCATCTTACCACCTAACATTTTGATGTAGTGATGTGAAGTGTAGTAACTTTGAGTGTTACATGTTATTGCTTGGTGTCACGTCTATATTAACTTACTGACTATTCTCGTATCTAGATAGGGCTTTAACGTTGAAGACCTCTTGTTGTAGCTAATGGTAGTTCTTCACATACCAGCCTGGTCGACCAGTAAATTTGTTCGTCTTTTGTGAAAGGTCAGTCAGGTGCACAGTGCGCTTGTGCATGCACTTTTGCTCAATGCATATGCTAGTCGACCAGGTACTGTCTATCTTGAGTTTGTCTGCAGCATTGTATGTTTTCTGTACCAATGCCGTGAGTTATCTTGGAGTTTCACTGTGTGACCGTCTTTGCACTGACTTGCTTGGCTTTTATACGTCTTACTTATTCCATGTCGGCGGTTTCTATACTCAGCGTTGGTTATCAACGCTTGCAGTTGTGGTGATTCCGTCAGTGTTGTGTGTAGTATCGGCGAATTATGCTAAATATTTAAATGGGCATTACGTGATGGGTTGTGACATTCAAGACTTGGAGATGTATTTTCCTAGTTGCAGGCTTACTTATGATCGTGGTTTTGGTAAACCCAGAATAACGATAGATATAGTTGAATTTTCTCCCGGATGTGCAGTGTGATTTCATTAATCCCCACGACTGTTGTCTAAAATTTTGCTGACGCCTACCTGACAATGTGGTCATAGTCAGACATAAAATCAAGGTCGAACATCGCACACGAGTGCATCACTTCAAGTTGCCACACTTCACAGTAGTATACAAGGAATAATGAGATAGAAAAGGACTGATATTAAAGTAGAGGAAGGTGTATGAGAGGAAAATGAACTTGAAAATGAAGGTTAGTGGAAATATTCCAGTTTCAGAAGGGTCAAAAGAGTGGAATACACCTGGACCATCGTGACCGACTTTCAGCCATGTCACCAATAGTCTCCAACCACTGATTGCTTTCGTCTGGGTGACCCCAACCCGGTAGTCCTCATCTCCCTATACTGCTCATATCAGCAGTCAGGAATCTCATCGATTGACGCCATATCTTCGTCTGGCCACCCTGTGCCCTCTTTCAACCTAATCCAACTTCCCCTAGCATGGTATTTCGAGGTGGGTGGTAGCTCGGCATGCGCAGTACATGTCCGAGCCATCTCAGCCGACTAAGGTTCACAACTTTATCAATCGACTTTCCTGTCTTGTCTATTACATTTCGCCTAACCTCAGCATTGCTCATAGTGTTTTTATCAATACGCTTTTAGGTGTTCATGTTTTGTATGAAAAATAATTTGTGAAGTCTGGCGTACCTGAAGGTGAGGCAAGTTATCATGGTTTTGCATATACTAGTGGGGGAAAGTGTGTTAAGAAATGAAAATGAGGTAATGTAGTACAGACTAATAAATAGGTCTGCTACTGTATTGAGCGCAGTTTTGGATTGATCATTCATGTATCGACTGATGTCTCCACTATATCGATGAGCCTGATTCGATGACTCATTTTATGCATAGAACTGAAAGCAACAGCTGTTCATTGTTGGCCATTTCTTCCTATTTCACACGTGGTTGCAGTAGGTTTTATTGGACCTGTATGGAATGCTGTGTGTATCAAATTTCTTGATGACGACCTCATATCTGTGTGTACCCATTGTTCAGTGTCCTGTCGTTAACCACTATATCTTATCCAAGGAATTTGTTACTTGAGCCTAAGTAACCGGTTATTATCAATAGCCCTAAGGTATGACTCGAATCCTTCAGTTTGCTTACTAGGTGTGTACCAGATTGTTGAGTTGCAGTATTTGAACACTAACAATCTCTTCATCCTTGTAATATATCTATCTAAATTTCACTCATGCAGGGTAATACCTGTAAGTGTTTCATCGCACAAGAATTCAACAGCGACAAATGGTGCTGTGTCACTAGCATCCCCTTGTATCTCGATGGTATCCTGAATGTCCATCACACTCGCATATTATTCGAGATATCAGTAATTATTGATATTACCAGTAATCAGGTTATTTAGTAAGCACTCTATTACTAATGGAGCTGTGGCTCATTGGTTTAAGGAGTTGACTTGCAACCAATGGATTGTAGTTTCAAACGCCACTCCACCTACCAAGGTTTGGGTAACTAGGTAGTGTCACTAGCACTCATACATAGTGGGTGTGTGGCTCATTACCTGCTGGACGAATATGCACGAGGTTGCTGAGTGGATTTCGTTCGCTCTGTCACTAACCGTTTGTAACAATTGAGGTGGTGATTTCGAGTAATATCTGACATTACAACTCAATTGATGGTTGGGTTAGTAAATTGCTTTCGACTACAGAGTAAGATTTCTCAGAATCCAATTATCGTTTTGTACTGTTTCACTAGGTGTTTACCATTTGTTCTCTCTAATTATTGTTATCGTTACTACTATAGAGTTATCTTGGACACTCCTATGAACAGGAAATGGATGCCCAAAGCAGATCATTCAACCTGGACACCTATCGATAAAGTGATACAGTGAGTACAACTCTGTTAAACTACACAGTTTGTAGTATCCCATAATTTTCGTGCATTCATATCTTTTTGTAAAGATGTTTTTGATTGCCTACCCTCATGAAACTACTTATATATCTGTCTATATATCTATCGAAATCGAATTGAACCGAAATCCACTAAGCAAGCGTTGTGTGCATCCGTGAAGCAGGTGATGAGGCAGACCTGTTGTGTGAGGGTTAGTTAATGACACTTACTACTTAGCTGGCTTTGAACTCGTGGCTCATTAGTTGGAATTAGGTGCCTAGATCAGTGATCTACAATTCCATCATGAAGTGAGGCCTGCCTTTTCAAGACTCATTCACATATTGAGTCAATTGTGCGTCATCATCAATATCGAAGGAGGTATTTCTGGTTAACGCTTTATATAAGCGATAAGGTGTGAAAGATAAAGAAATAGAGAAGAATTGATCAAAAGGAGTTGAAGGTAAGAAAGGAAGAGAAGAAGGAATGAGAAAATGCTGTATTCAGTATGACGATTAAGATGAGCAGAATAATGCAGTGGATAAATCTGTGGCATTTAAATCGATTGCGAGCCATATGCACGAATGGTAAAAAGAGTTCAGTACTCCCTCCCTGTCTGTTTGTAGTAATCTCGTAGACAATGTAGATTAGTTGTATTAAAACTTGCAATTTGTCCTAGGAGAACTTTTTGGTGATGTTCAATGAATGAATTCACTTGCATCTGGTTATCATCTGCCTTCTTAACAGATTATTCAGTGATTGGCTGGAAGAAGTTGACAATCGTCCTCAATCTGGAAGTATACTTCAGTTAATCACCAAAGATAATGAAACAGAATGTGTTCCAATTTGATTTTTCGTCAAAGAAGAAGTCGTACTACTTTATTTTTTGAACTATGGAATGTGGTTAATTCTACTTTTCGATTAGTATATTTTTCTAAGTATCTACTCATCTATCTATGTGGTTGATTTATCCCTTCGTCTCACAGTCAACAAATTGAGTTTTGTAACATCTCATGACTGTGTAATAAAATCATGATATTGATCAACTTTTGCTTTTTTATCAAAGAAGAGTACTTGAGGTGGTTTATTTTTAAGGCGAACTCTACCGTGGATGTTGAATTCCATTGTGGACGAAAGAAAGCTTTTGGTAATTACAGAAATGAAATACTTGGTTTTGGTGTAGAATTATATTTGACAAGTCAGAGATCGGTGAGGAGAGTGGTTTTTTTCCTTCAAAAAACAACACTTGACTGCTTATTATTTATCTGTGACAAAAAATGATTCGCGATTCAACAGCCGTCCTGTCATATAGAATGGGTTCCGGAAGATAGTCAGTGCTTGAAGAAACATTTCCTTCAAGAAATGCACTTTTTATACCGAGAGATTTGATTTTCAAGTTGACATTCACACCGACTGAAATCAGTTGGAGAAGCATTGACAACCTTGGAGCAGTAAACCCTTATCGGAGTAGGTGGCTTAAAGATGCTAGGGGAAGCTGGATTAGGTTGGAAGATGGTTCAGGGTGGCCAGATGAAGATGCGTCACCAGTGTTTGAAGTCCCTAAATTGGTGTGAGCCGTGTGATGAGATGTAGACTACCTATCCACGAGAGGATAGGAATCAGTAATTGAAGACCCTCAGTGACAATGGTGCATATGTATTCAACCTTTTGACGTCTTCTAAAGCTTGAATATTCGGACAAATCTTTATCTTCAAATAGTTTATTCTCCCACACAAATTTGTCTACTTTGATATCACTCGTTTTCTATCCACCTGTTCACTGTATACTGGTGTGAAGTATGGTAACTTGAACTGACGTATTTCTGTGCTAGTATCTACGTTGATCTGTCCTACCGTTTTCTAAGCTCACTGTCAATGGTTAGAATACAATTAGATACAACCAAGTTGATAGAGATGTTCTTTGAGAGTTAGAGCAGTTCGAACACAGTGTAATCTGCTTGACGCAAATAGTGTCATCAGGAATTCGCGCGAAAAAATATAAATGAGGAGTTGCAATGTAGTCCAAGTGACTAACAGTTCTCACTAACCCTATTTATGTTGGTCTCATGAGTGAATTGATTCAGCCTAGGAAGCACACTTTCGGAAAACCAATCAGCAGTGTTGAATATTTCATCTAGTAGCGCTCTCATAATGTCACTTGTTGAAACCACTTAACTCGCATCACATCCTTCATCATTACAGATAGACAGTCTGACGTTAAGTGAAGAACGCATTCTGCGTACAAGACGTTATAAGTCATGACATTATTCGTATATCTGAATAACATATTGAGCTGCTCGTTGTACTTATGGATGGTGGTGATACTATTAGTTCTGGCAGTGAGTGATGTGGGCGCTACTACTGACTAGCGTCAGGTCAGTTAGTTTCAGAATGGGATCTGGAATTACTGGATAATGGTGATGGGTGTAAGGCCGTATGTGACGTGGATTTCGTATCTGTCGGCATTTTGTCAAGAGAGTGTGTATGCGGACCTGAGGGATTTTCAGCTACCTCTGTTCACCTGACATCAGTCAGAGTTCGCTGTAATAGTGAGTCGCCTAGATTGGTGATAGAATTCAGACAGCCTGGAATTGGTTACTACTCTGTGATATGGGAAACGTGTATTGGCGGAACTTCTGCAGAAATGATGTTGACCTGACTGTAAATAAGACCAGGCGACCGGATATGATGTGTTGGCCCACGACGATATTGTTATATTACAGGCTCATTTATTCTGTCCTAATATGCTTGAATGAGGTGGGGCAACTTGGATTACGCTACACGGTAATACAAGGTGACATATCGATATTCACTTTGACTGATAGATGCAACGGACAGTGGGTGTTTGCTCTAAATCCATATTGGTGAGTACCGAAAAACCGATTCCCTGTGTGTATATATATATTCAACAATGGTAGTAATAAACAGTGGTGGAGTGAAACCTATTTGCCTGATGTTCCTGGAGGTTTCGTCACCAGACTAAGAGACCTCAACAGCGTGTAGCTCGTGAAGCATTTTCAAGTTCCATGAATATTTATAGAAGATATTTGCTGACCTAAAGTTTCATTGAGCTTGTTGTTAAGGGTCACCTCGTTTCTTTCACCGGAGTTTGACCTTTATAACTCTTGTTATCATCTGATCTGTGCTGTTGACCTGTGTGATTATTGATTTGGTTCATTGATATCAAGCTGGTTGATTCGTTCTTCGTTGTGTGTAAATATCGGGTGAATGCCCAGGTGTCTGCTGATTGGCATTTTGTCAGAGTGTCATGCTTCGAGGAACTTTGTTACAGTTTTTGGATCTACTTGTTTTAGTATCACTACATTGTGCCCATTCATCTATAAGCATCGATATGGATGAGAATGTAACATGTTGTTTGACTGCTAGTTGAGTATTCGACCACTGAATTCGCCAACATGGTGACATTGATAGTCCTTACAGTGAGTTTTGTAAGCTATAAATTCATATTGTCATTGAGCATTGGGTCTGTTAGCTAATTTCGCCTGAACGAAGTAACCGGTGGACAGTTTCTGAAAGATTTTTGATATGTAGTAATGTGGTTTATTTTGTGGATTGAGATAATTCTCCTGATCTGTGTTCTGTTGATAAGTGTTTTTGACGAGGTTGATTTGATGGATAGTCATTGGCTGTGAACACCGTAGACATGGGATTCTTCTGGACTTCAGTAGTTGTTGAGGGGTGTAGTGAATCTCGGCACATGCGAATAGGGCTTGTACACAACTCTGCTTACAAGATGCTGAGTTGTTACTGTTGTATTTCAAAATTTGATCTGTGCATGTCACCTTTGTGTACACTTTAGTTTATGAGGTTTGGTGATCTTCACTAGTGATAAAGGCGTATATGAACCCGGTTTCCTTACTTTCTTCTCCTTCTGTAAACTGAATACCTTCAGTGTTATGGTTGAGAGAATTGAGGGTGATTCTCAATTCACTTGTTATGTGAATTACAAGTGTCCCAGTTTTTGAAATTCATCATTGGAATGGCTGTTGGTTCGAAACTGTGTATCACTGCTTCGACAATCATTTCGGATATTGTTGAACGTAAGGCAGTTCTTCTGGTTTATCTGTAGATCTTCGTGCTCAACTGAAAGTACTTGTATGTATGTATCGATCATGGAGTATGGATGCGTTCTGGAATGACTTCCCCTCTTTGTGTAAATATCTAGATAGAATTTGTGTGCTAAGTAGGGAGACAGTAATGCAGTGAGCGTTGCCGATCAGAATAGACATCGACATAAGTTAAGTAGTATATGTTGAGAGGGTGGCAGAAATCGTAGGGAATTGCCGGCAACGGGTAAAGATTCTGCCCAGAGAAAGGCAAGAGACAATGTGTGCGTGTTAAGAACAAATGGAGATAGAAAGAGAAGAGGAAATGAAGCACATTGTGTGAATGACTGTCTTAGTGCAAAGTGTACAATATTTGATGACTACTACACAATATATCAACAATCAGCCTTCCTTCCTGCATCTCAGTGTGCTCGTTTCCCACAGTGACGTCATTTTTGGCGAATTGCCTAAACTATGAAATATCACGATATTCAGTTACAGAAATGGAAGTTCCATATAATCAACTAAATGAAGGCCAATTAACCCAAACGAGTATAGACAGAACTCTCCTTTTTCCTTATTGATATTGTGATTGAATGCTTGTATATATATGCTTGTGATAATTGAAGGTTAAACTAGTCACAGCAACATCGTAAAATGTGGCCTCATTTCACCTTCAATCATCACCTAGTATCAATAATACAAGTCTACCAAACAATGGTTATCTCAGATAGTCAAACTTATTATCAATATGGATTGGGTTGGGAAGTCTTAGCTGGATAGCCATTTCGAATACGATGAAGGGATAATAATGCATGACGAATTCACATAGCAGTCGGGCAAAGCCTTTCTCAGTGACTGAAGTAAACTTAACGAACTTGTTTATTGACAAGGATACTGAACAAATGATTATCTCCTTCCTTCCTATCTTCCCGAATGATGAACAACCTCCCTGTGTGATCAAATTTCTGATGAAACTGCTGTATTATTGTTTTGGTGTAAGCGTTTAGCAAAATCAGACACGGGTTACTCAACACTCTACACTATCATGAATATATCTGTTGTTAGTTTCCAACCGATTAAGAAGACTTTAATATGTCTGTGTGACTAGTTTCATGTAACTTTTTGTAAGTAGTTCAGTGCATTACACAATCACTGGATGTTTCGTTAATGAAAACAAAACACCAATTATCCATTTGTATATTGGGTAGGAGAACAAATTCAAGATTTGAGCCTGAAAAGCCATAAATAACTTGATTTTCATTCATTTGGTGCAAGTGGAAACTTGATCTCAGTGGAGAGATAAAACAGGTTACCAACTCTGAATGAGATTTTATCACTTCATGTTTACAATATTTATTGTTCATCTTAACTTGAAAATTGTATCATATTTCAGTATTTTACTTCTTGTCTAACTTCTGTACACGAATTGAGTACAATAAGAATGTTATTATTCTTGCTTTGGAAAGAAAAATTGAAAGAGGCATAAGGAAAGCAAATGAAAAGCTTAGTGGCAGACATTTAGAATAAGGTGCATGCGAAATGTATGAAAGATTAGTATTACATTACAATTATTTGATGCTGCTTATCCATTCTATTTATAGGCATGTGTAGAATGAGTTTCGTTTTGATGTGTTATAGTTTGTAATTTCTAGTCGTTGATTTGCAAGAATTAACATATAAGTTGTCGCACAGATGCCTTGATATTGCCAGTTATTTCTCTTTGATGAACCGTGACTAGCGTTGGGATTCATCATGCGCGTTTTATTTTGTTTGCAACTCAT